GGGAACAAAAATGACCCACAGCAAAGTCATGCCCCTGCAAGATTTGGTGACAGCTGATTTCTTCCTGAATCGCCCTGACGGTATTTCCAGTCAATCAGGTTTACTTGATTACTTATCGGGTGCCGAGCAGCTAGCAGCGAGCCCAGGGGCGACAGCAAAGGACCCAAAGTAGGGAAAGCTCCCAGCTGGTGCCAACTCTGTCCCCTTCTCCCCTTCTCTGACTCCGAGAGGCTTTCCCTTCTGCCGGGCTCCGTGGGTTCCGTCCTGGAACATGTCAGAGTGAGGGCTCTTCTTCCTCTGGTTTCTTTTTTCTTTTTTCTCTTTTTCTTTATACTTGAATTTTATTTTCTTCATCTGGTTTCTAACAGAGATCCTATGGTTATCCCTGGGAGCCCACTTCTCGTCCATCGGACTTGAATTCGTCAGCTTCCTCTTGCTACTAACGGACCTGCTGTTCACCGGGAACCCGGGCTGTGGGCTCAAGCTGAGCGCCTTCGCTGCCCTTTCCTCCATCCTGTCGGGTGCGTGCCGCCCAGGCTGGAGTGGGTGGGGGGCCTCGCCACCTTGGAGCGCCTCTGGTGGGCGCGTGTGTCTGTCCAGAGGCAGGGTCAAGAATGGAGGGATGAGAGACGTTGCAGGCGTCTTGGAGTTGGAATGAAATCTTCTATTAGATCATTATGTACTTGGCAAAATGATTTCTCTCTAGGTTCTTTTTATTTGCAAGTTTTCTCAGTATGTGAAATACAGTTTGGCTTACTTTTCAGTTGCAATTACACACAGCTTTTCAAGACTCCGTCGGATCAAGTAGGAGTAAGAGATGCAGATATAAAGATAGATCAAGAATAAAGCTCATGTTGAGGGCATGGGTGGGAAGAAGTAAAAGGCCCTAAGTGCAGCATTGACTCAGAAACTTTTTCCATACCTCGCCACCTAAAGCCTGGGGCAACCTTTTGCAAAGTTCAAGGAGAAGCCCCCGTCACAGATCAGTGTTCCCAGAAATGTGGGGGGCAGATGAGTAATGGAGCATCTCCCCGTAGGCTGTTCCTGATGCAAAATGAGGAGGTTGCTCCAAACTCATACTCCCTGTAGCTGGCAAATCCAGCCTCTCTCTAAGGGCACCGCCTTCCTGTTCCCTCTGCAGGCCTCCTGGGGATGGTGGCCCATATGATGTATTCACAAGTCTTCCAGGCAACTGCCAACTTGGGTCCAGAAGACTGGAGGCCACATGCTTGGAATTATGGCTGGGCCTTCTAGTAAGTGCTTACCATCTCCTGAACCTTCTAGGCCCTCCCCAGCCAACCTGCATTAGATGTGCTGCCCTCAACTAGATGCCTGCTCGGGTGTCCTTCTGTCTTCTCTTCATCCCTCATCCCAGGAGTCTGTTGACCAGAGAGCTGGACCATCAGGCCACCCCTGTTCTTTCCCCACCTCCTGTGGAGGCACAGAGAGGATTCTTCCAGCTTGCTTTGTCCAGTTTTCCTAATGATACAGCTGTTGCGTGTTCCCTTGGGAAATGAGACTGATTTTGTGTGGCTTATGCAAGTGATGCTCTGTATTTTATTTATTTCTTTTTAAGATTTTATTTATTTATTTGACAGAGACAGAGATAGCGAGAGAGGGAACACAAGCAGGGGGAGTGGGAGAGGGAGAAGCAGACTCCCCGCCGAGCAGGGAGCCCGATGTGGGGCTCGATCCCAGGACCCTGGGATCACGACCTGAGCCGAAGGCAGATATCCAACGACTAAGCCACTCAGGCGCCAATGCTCTGTATTTTATACGTTTTATGATTCAAGGTATTGGAGGGCCGAGAAATGAAGGATTAGCCTTGAGATTTGGTTTGAATTCCATCCCCTGTGAATGGCGGACTCTTCTCCTGTAACAGAGTCACTTCTTCCTACTTCTGCTCTATTCCACCCCATTGTGTGAGAAATAGAACCTCCCTACCAGTCATTCCCTAACCCTTAAAGAACTAAGGGGTCAGTTATTTTTGATTTCTCTTAAGAAGAGAGAAGCAGCAACCATGACAAACACATTGGAAGCAAATACCCCCTCTGTTTTAAGAGTTCCTCACTTCCTCCCCCGAGGAACACGCTCTGTTCACCGCGCAGGTGCTACCTTGGGCCTGCATTATGGGCTGGAGTCAGTGCTAAGTACTTTAACAGTGCTGAAAACACACGGCACTGGGCTCGAGTTTCCATGCTGACGGAGGCAATCTGGAAGCCTATCCATGCCTGTTAGGAGATCCTATCCCCTTCTCTCATGATAGAACATGTGCTATTGGATTCGTGCGTCTTTGGGCTATTCCAAAACCAGCCCCCAGAGCTTATGTTCCAGACACATGGTTTTGCACCTTTTGTCTGTCTTTAAGCCCTTGTTGGCATGACACCTGCAGAGCTCAGGCTACCCCACTCCTATCTGCAGCATCCCCAGCCTAAGTCGGCTGAGTCTGTCAGGGGCGGCAGATAGGAACACGCAGCGCCACCGTGTGGCCTGGCTTTACCCATCACCTGACCTCATGAAATTCCTCACTAACCTCACACAACTTCCTGTTTCCTGGGCTTCCCAGAATCATGGGGAGATTTAGGGGTTGACTTCCCAAGATTTTAGGAATGCGTTTGATATAGTTCCCTGGTGGTTGGTTGTTTTTTTTTCTTTGTTGAATCCATCCAGCTTCTCTTAAGTCTCCAGCTTCTCTTCCATCCATTATAAACTCCTGTAAGCCAAGAGCTGCACTGTTTTCCCAAGAGGCAAATTCCACTGGTATAATGTATAATACCTCCAGGTTTGTAGTGAGTGTTGCCTGAACGAACGACATGCAGAGGCTCAACTTTGTGGCCCCTAAGATAGCTAAAAAAAACTCAAAACAAAAGAAGATGGAAGAGAAATGATCGCTCCTAGCATCTGATCTGAGTGAAGGAAAATCTTGGGCAGGGTGTGTGTGTGTGCGTGTGTGTGTGCTGGGTGTGTGTGTGTGCGTGCGTGTGTGGGGTGTGTGTGCGTGTTGGGTGTGTGTTTGTGTTGGGTGGATGTGGGGTGAGGGGTGTGGGGTGGGTGTGGGAGTGTGGGGGGGTGTGAGGGTGGGGTGTGGGGGGGGTGGGGGGGGGGGGGGGGGGGGGGGGCGTGGGGGGGGCGGGGGGGCGGGGGGGGGGGGGGGGGGTGTGGGGTGCTGCATTGGGCTACGTCCACTCTATACAGCTGAGCTATCGGTCTGTGAATCTTGGGAGATCAAAAGGGTAACTGCAGGTGGGGAAACCATAGTCCAGAAAGTTGCGTGTGAGTGTGTGCGTGTTCTATGTACGCAGCAAAGGCACACCAGGAATAAAAGCGCACAGCTCTGACAGCTAATCGATCCAGTGAAACCCAGTCTGTTAAACTCCTGGTCTGACGTGCAACACTACAAGAGTCATTCTCTTTGACTACAAACCATTCAGAACATACCCTACTAAGCCAGACCAAATTCAGGCCTCTGGCCCACAGTGCTTTCCCCGCAGCACGGCGGAAGGGAACACACGCCGGTCCTTGAATCCCTAAGGGGCATCAGCCTAGTCTACTAGTAGGAAGGGATCATATTTTTCTCTCAAGCCTGTACGTAGGTCAGATTCTGACCGTCCCATTTTTTTTCTGTTCATCCCTAGCACGGCCTGGCTTTCCTTCACCTGCTGCATGGCATCGGCGGTCACCACCTTAAACACATACACCCAGCTGGTGCTGCAGTTCAAGTGCAAGCACAGTAGGAGCTTCAAAGGAAAGCTGAGTTGCCTGCCGCACCATCACCAGTGCTTCCTTGAGCAGCCGTCCTGTGCAGCCCCCACGGGGGGCCCTCTGACCAGCTACCACCAGCGCCACCCTCAGCCCGTCCGCTCAGTCTCTGAAGGAGCTGACCTCTACTCGGGGCTACACCACAAGGGATTTCAGCAAGAACCCAGCCAGAGGCTAAAGGAAGAGGTGGCTGGGTCATCCGTAGAGGAAGAACTGTGTTAGAAGTAGTCAGATTTAGAGGGCAGGCGGAACCCAACCTTCCATGTTCATTTGCTATCAACAGGTACTGAAGCCAGAGTCTGTTTCTCGAGCATGGTTTTCACAGGTTCGGGACAAGTGTATCTAAAGTGCAAGTCCAAAGGGGTGCATGCCAGGGCGCCACTGCCCCTCTTCCTTCCCAGCGCTTTCCTTCCCTTCCCATGTCTCGTTTCACCACACCCCTCTCCCGTGTTCAGAGTCACCCTCTCTCCTTTACAGATGGCTTGTTGTGTGCCAGGCTCCGGGCTCAGCAGTGGAGACGAAAAAGAGAAGTAAAATCCAGTTCCTGCCCTTTAGGGGCTTCTCCATCTGGCCCTCTATCTGGGATTTGGAGGCATGCAGGCAGGCAACTCAACAGTCGTCCACGGTGGCTCAGCCTTCCCTGGTGCACTTGACTTTTCCTGGAAGTCATAGAATGGAAGACAAAGAGGCCTTCCTGGGACCTTGGGCATTTAGGACAGATACCCTCCACACTGCCCATCACAGTGTCCCACACCCACATGGTAGGGACCCAGTGGAAGTTTAAATATTAATCTAGAAGCCACCAGGGGACTAGTATACACGAGAAGGCCCCCACAGCATGCAGGGACAGGTCCACTGTAGTTATTCATAGGGGATTTACGGTAAGGGACACTTCCGCAGTGAACAAGGCCACAGCATACACTCCCCTCTGGATCCCCAACTCACCCACCCACCTGTTCTTCCTCTTTTCCATAAGGGAAAACAAACCATGGCGATGGCTAAGAAGAATGAGAATGACACACAGTGTGTTTCCTATACATAGTATTTATTTGTTCTCCAACAATTCACATTTTAAATAGTGCTTCCTGACAATATACCAGCTGGCTCTTCTGTAGTATGGACAATAAAAGTAGCAATTCACATTCAAGGGGGTTGGTATCAGCATCCCTGACTGGGAGGGGGCATAGAGAGCATCTGGGGGGTGGGGGGGGATGCTGTCTAGGGTGCAAGGGGCTCTAAGGATAGCACGGAGGAGAGCTTGGGAGAAGGAAGACCCTTACACCTGCACAAGTCACTGCGATCCCTAAGTGGCAGTCACACTGGCCTTGCTTGAGTGGGGAAAGGAAGGAGCTCTTCCTATCTTAGAGGTCCGGCTGGGTGGGTGCCTACAAGGAGAAGGAAGTGTCAGGACACACCTGACAGGCTAGCACCCACGCTGGACAGAGGAAGCTTCCGCAACCCTCGGCCCTGGCTGCGGGAGGGAGGAGAAACCCAGAGCCTGTCCCGTGTCTGGCAAAAATGGATTCAAACTTCTCAGAGTCAAAACAATCTATGGTAAGTTAGTTTGTAAACACACCATGAAGAATTTAGGGACTGATGCTCTTCTAGCTTCCTCTCATTTCTGGGACTCACCCGGTATAGACACCATCTTCTACCCAAAAAGATACCCCCGCCCCCCACAAGACCAGGCCCTTGGTAAACGACTTTGCATTTTACTCCTCCACCTAAAGTGGCTTTCCCAGAAAGCCTCAACATGGTGAAGAATGAGGGTGAGACGTAGATGGCTCAGCCCAGGCCACAGGACCACAAGTCAAGTTTTAGCTCTTCAGTCAACTATAAATTAGTCCTTAGAATCCTCTACTAGGCTAAACAAGATCCTAGGCTCTTCTACCCAAGCAGATTCAAACTCTAGAAGTGAATCTAAAATCATCCCTATCCTCTAATTGTTCCCCCAAGTTTACAAAGTCTCCCAAAGTGTTGAAACCAAATTTGCTTTCAGGATCTTAAGGCAAGGGGGTGCCCAGAAACCTGGCAGGCCAATCTGCTATTGCTACCAATATGTTATGTCACAATGCCTACCACTGGGCAAGTAATACACATCCCTTCAAATCTGGGATCCCTAAATTTCTGTAATCTCTAAATTTTTCTGGACTCCCTTTATTAATCCAAGCTAAAAAGATACAAGCCCAAGTAAAGACAGAACCTGAGTTGCACTCGAGTAAGACCTATCAAAATTATTCAAGAAGAAAAGCAGTTCTCCACCAGCTAACGTGGGATTTTCTGCTATAAAAACAATGACCTAGAAGTTTAGGAGAGAACTTATTAGAAGCAACATTTATGGAAGAAGGGAGAAGTAAGCACTGGAGATAATTCTAAAGAACTTAACCAATTATAAAAGTTAGAGTAATTACACAGGAATTTTCTCAAAGTACAGTGTTTTCCAAGGCTCTACAAGGAAGGAGATGTGCAGGCAAAATGGCTGCATATGGGACTCAAGGAGCAGGAATAAAAATCCAGAAACAGCTTTGCTCTCATGCAAGCAAAGCAAAAACACCTCTGAATAAAAGAGGGCAAATGAGAGGCAGGATGGAGGACAGCCCACAGGAGATGCCAGGAGACCAAGAGAGCAGAGTGGAGATGAGGCCGGGATAAGCGACCTGGCTGAACGGTTCCTGACTTCACAGAGCCAGGGCAGCGCGCCCACGAGCGCTTCAGAAGTTACTGCGGGGAAAAGGCCATGCTGGCCAGGCCCATCAGGGCCCCGCAATGCCACACGGACCCCACAGAGGCTGCTCACAAACTCTGATGCTCTTGCTCCCCTTCCGACAGGAATGTGGTGGTGCTCATGGTCACCGGGTGTGTAGAGATGGAAAGTTCGGGAGGCGGGAGGCTATGGAAGATAAAAGATGGGAATGCAAGGATGGCTCCCTCGGCCTCCCACTGTCTGTGTCTCCCTGCCACTAGGGTGGGAAGAAGCCAAGGTACAGGCGGTGAGAGAACACGGAGGGAAAGGACCAGTGGCCCCGATCAGAGGCAGGGCACTGGAAGTCCTAAGTCTCAAACCAGCCGAGTGTTATCTCAGAAGGACAAGAAACTGGGCCCCTAGAGCTTAGAACAGATCGAGAAACTTATGTCATCCCAATACCAACACATACACACAGGTGGCGTAACGCAAAACAAAATGTTCCAGGGAAGAACCTCACCGGAATTTCCCAGCAGGAGTTTATAAATTAGACACACAAAAAATACACCGTGAGAGTCACATTTCCAAACTATCCGTGGAGTGCCTAGAGGGGGTTAATGCAGGGACTGGGAAGGTAGGTCAGACACCCCAGCCAAACGGATGGTGCTGTCATCCGAGAATGCGCCCTCAGAGTGCTTTGTGACAATCACGCAGAGCCGGTGAAGTGAGGTTGAAGTCTTCCTTCTCTCCAAAGAACTGACGTGATGCTGCTGGGAGAGAGATGGTACCACTCTGTTCACTTCTTCTGAGATGGAAGATTCCTCAGACTATATCTAGGGGAAAGAGTGCAGGTATCAGTGACTTTCATTCTTTTCATGACAGAGAAATGGAGGAAACCCAAAGGTCAGGCTATTTCTCTGCTCTTCTGTCCTTTTGTCTAGCCCTGATAGTTCGTAAGTCCTGCCAGAAAGATCCAGGAACTTTGTTTTTTCCATGACAAACTCTTGAACATTGAACTAGACCATAGTATTTGAGGGCTGGGAGGTTAGCATTTTGAGCAAGATAATCCTTTGGAGTATGTAACTTTCACAAGTGTTGCACGATGTTAGCATCACTAGCCCCTCCCCAGAAAATACCGGTCGTATCCACCCCCTCAGTCCCTGAGATAAATAGACACCATGACCCCACATTTCCAAGTGTCCCCTAAGGGCGATGGTACCATTCCCAGCTAAAAACAACTGAGTACCATTTCTGAATGGTCAGAAAGCACCCTAAGAAAATAGAGCTGCTCTCGAACAACGTTCTTGACACCCAGCTAATCAAGAAGGTTCCTACTCCCCGCTACTTTCTAGAGAACAAAGCTGGAGTTGGTAGCCTTTGCCCCAAACCCTTAGTAGTAATCAAATATATCTTTCAGAAGAGAGTCACCTGGTGGGGAGGATCAACAAACTTTATCCTAGAGAGGGATCTTCGAAGCTCCCCACGGCCGATTTTGGGGGTGGTGTCCTCGAGCTGCACCACCTGGCCTTCCATCAGTGCCCACCGCAGACTAAGCTTGCTAACCACCAGGGGTGCCGGATGGCCTTCAGAGCTTGGCCCTGTTGTCCTGGTAACATAAAAGGCATCTTTCCAGAGGTCGTTAATTCCAACTGAGGAAGGACAAAAACAAGAGCAATTAACGAGGACAGAAAATTTCTGCCAACAGGAGAGTGGCTTGACTTAGCAACGAGCTTCATTCATTCATTTACTCATTAATTCGTACACGAAGTTTATTGAGCACCTAATAAATGCCTGGCACCGAGCTAGACAGTGGGTGCATAGTGGGGAATGACAGGATGCCAGCCAAGCAGCACATTCCCCTCGGTCTTTAGACCTTTCCTTTTCTGAAGCTGTTTCTAAGAAAGCCCCAAATCAGGAGACAAGGATATGCCAACCGTGGGGACAACTGGACAAAAAGTGAGCATAGGGGACTAGAACTTCTGAGACTTCCTAGACTGTCAGTACGCGGTCACAGAAGCTATCTGCCTCGCCAGCACTTGTCTCTTATCCTTAAAACAGGTGTTGTAATAAAAAGGGTCTCAATTCCTAATTACCACTATTTAATGCCCACTGAATAATGTTTTACGCTAATATTGAAAAACAACTCAGATCCAGTCAGAGGATTCTGCAGGATGCCTGGGAAGGGCTCAATGTCCCCCCCCCCCCTGCTGTTGTTTGAAGGCACACGTCCCTCCCTCGGTGAGACAAGGGTATCCTCACACACACAGCCAGCACACCTTCTCCCCTCATCTGTACGCAGCCCCTACCATCACTAGGACTTACCCTCGGAAGCCATCACTGTGCCCGTGGCATTGGCCAGATCCAGAAGGATGGAGGGGAATGCTGGATGCAGGAGGTAAAGGTGGTGAAGGCTGGGTGGCCCAGTTCCTGGGATGACATCCTGACAATGAGAAGCAAAAGGGAAGAATGTAGGTAACTCTGCATTCCCACATGTGACAGGCCTCCGATGAAAAGGGCAGAGGAGACCGTGGTGATTACTCATTCCTCTCAGATGCTATGACCTGACCCCAACTACAAGCATGCGTTTGAGAGAAACTCCCATATACAAGAGACATATTTCAGAGCACTCAAAACAGACTAATCACTAACTTCTTCAAACCACTAGAGTAGAAAACGCTTTCTACCTTATGAGAAGAAAAAAGGAATGGAAATGTGCATGCCCTGGGTGAGCGGGGGGCGGGGGGAATCCAAGCCTTCTGCCTGTGGGAGTATTAGAACACTGGGTCATCTCTTGCTTCGTGGTGGGGCTTCGTGGACACAAAATGTATACATGAAAAGACATCTCTCACTGGATATGAAAGGCAATTGCAAGAATCAAGCTAAAATCACAAAAATCTTCTCAGTTCCTGAAACAAACCGAACACTGTCCAGACAGAGGCAAATCATTAATTCTACAACAAAAATTCCAATTCCAAGTGGCAGTCTCCAGAGTCCTGACAGCAGAAGAAATGCACACTGGAACTGCCTTCGCCAGCCTGACCGCGGTGCAGGGAGGACGTTCGGCTCTCACACATGTGTGCAGCCCGGCCACGCAGTTGTTAAAGCACACAAATAGCACATACGGATTAGTAAATGACTGCTCTACCAAGCTTCCCAAGTACCTCCCCCACCCCGGGACCATCCTGGACCCCACTAGTGGAGGAAACGGGAATCCCATTTTCTTAGCATAGGAAGTCCACCAAGTGAGAAGAAACATAGGCAGGACGCTTGCAGCCACACTCCCACCACGTGGCACGAAGCACAGGAGGGCATTTTCCACATACCCTCAGGATCACAAACCTGACAGGACAGACCTCTGACTCTGTCCACATGACAAGCAAAGAGCCAAACTCCCTCCTCACTGCCCACGGAATGGAGCCCAAATTCCTTAGCCTGAAAGCCAAGGCCTTAAACCATTTAACCCAAATCTGCCTTTTCCAGCCTCTTCCATCATTCACCTGGCCGGCCGTGCTTCAGGAATGTCTGGCTGTAACCTTTGATCCGTCTAACGTCTGCCAACCCTACTTCCCCCTGAGACTGTCTAACGATTCTCTGGAGCCCATTTCCACGCATGAAAACAACCCTCGACCTTAGATCCCACACCGGAATGCTGCCTCTTTTACGAAAAGCTCCCCAGCTGCCCCCAACAAAGTACCCCTCCCTTTGTGCTTCCACCTAAACCTCTTATTTGTGCTTCAATTACAGCATCTGTAAGATGCCTTTGTTTTGTGGTGATTTATAGACACTTACATTGGAGAGTCACCTCTTCTAATCCCCTCATTTTATTAAGTGAGGAAACCAGAAGTTAACATGTCAGGTGAACTATCTGTGGGCACATGTTAGGGCAGGGCAGAGTTAGGACTATAATCTAGATTTTGAGTAAATCTGATCTTCAAAATGAGGGAATATGTTAGCATCTCCATTGATGAATAAAGAGCACGGGGCTCAGAAAAGTTAGGTGGCTTGTCCAAGAGTGCACGGTCGATGAATTCAGGATTCTTCATCCTTCCGGGTCCCCCCAGCATCCGGGGACCATCTGCCTTCTCTGCTAGAGCACCAGCACTGTTTCCAGTCTATCCTTAGGTCCCCTACAGAGAACACAGTGCCTGGCACAGAGCAGGTGCTGGTCAAGATAGGTTTCACTGAGGGGCGCCTGGGTGGCTCAGTCGGTTAAGCGTCTGCCTTCGGCTCAGGTCACGATCCCGGGGTCCCGGGATCGAGCCCCACGTCGGGCTCCCTGCTCCGCGGGGAGCCTGCTTCTCTCCCTCCCTCTCCCTCTGCCCCTCCCCGCTCTTGCGCGCTCTCCCTCCCTCTCTTTATCGCTTGCTCGCTCTCTATCTCAAATAAATAAATAAAATCTTAAAAAAGAAAAAAAAAAGATATGTTTCATTGAACCAACTCAGGGTGGATCTTACCAAAAACTCCCAGGCACCTCTTCTAGGTGGTGCCCTGCCTCATCAACCCCATTAAAATACTGCAGGATAGCATTTGAGACTTTCGAAAATCTGCCTTCCGGGCATCGGATCTTCTCTCCTATTATTCCCCCAGGTGACCCCTCAACCTCAGCCCCGTCACCGTCCTCTCCAGCTGCCTGGCCATCCCTGCCCCACACCGTTTCTGCAGACTCAGTTTATTCATCTCGAAGCCCAGCCTCACCCACCATGAAACCTCCTCTGCCCATTCCAGACGAGTCACAGTTACTTCTCTTTGACTACAGCACACGTGAATCATCTGGAGATTTGGACCTAGCGTCTTGAGAGGACTTCTGTTTCACCTAGACTCCCAGCGTTGGCAGCTGTAGCCAGGGGCTGCTGTCAGCTTTCACAGTGCTTGGCTGAAAGGCGAGGCCAGGGCAAGCGGAGCTCAGGAGGAAGCAGGTTCCAGCCTTGCGCACTCGGCTGCTGCTGTGCTGTACCCACACCTACTTGGAAGCGTGGCTTCTCCACTAACCCCTCCAGACCCAGGCAGCCCCGCAGAGCGGCTGTCATCTCACCAAGCGACAAAACGACCCCCCACCCCACGCCCGCCAGGCTCACTCACAGAACTGGGAGATGCAGCTGACATCCCTTCAGCCCAGAAGAGGAAGACTGACTTCTGGTCCGAAGTAACTGCTGACGTGGTTGGCGTCTCTTTCATGTGACAGGGAGCACTGTAACTCCAGGTAATGGAGCCTGAGTCCCCATCCACCACCATCATCTGCAAGAGAGAAGACAGTGAGTACAGCCCACCTTCAGAAAGGCAGCAGGCTGGGGCGCATGGGTGGCTCAGTCGCTCAGCAACCGGCTCTTGATTTCACCTCAGGTCATGATCTCAGGGTTGTGAGATGGAGCCCCACGTTGGGCTGTGCACCAGGCATGGAGCCTGCTCAAGATTTTCTCTCTCCCTCTCCTTTCCTTCTGCCCCTCCCCCTGCTCCCTCTCCTTCTGCCCCTGCCCCCACTCCCTCTCTTAAAAAAAAGGAAGCAGGTCAAGAAAACACACAAAAGAATGAAAAACCACATATATTAACAGGTTGACCTCACTACATGTGAACAAACTGGGCATGCAGAGAGCATTAAACAGCGACGAGGGACCAGACCTGGTTTTCTGTAGCCCTTGTCTATAGAAGGGGAGTTTAAAGGTAGAGTTTATTTTGTTTTAATATTTTATTATTTATTCCTTTGAGAGAGAGAGAGAGAGAGAGAGCACACAAGAGCGGGGAGGGTCAGAGGGAGAAGCAGAGCCCCCGCCAAGCAGGGAGCCTGACGCGGGACTCGATCCCAGGACTCCAGGACCACGACCGGAGCCGAAGGCAGTCGCCCAACCAACTGAGCCACCCGGGCGCCCTAAAGGTAGAGTGTAAAGGTCTGCCAAATCCTCGAGTGGGACAGGACCAGTATAAAGCAACCAATCCTCCTCTCATTCTGCAGATGAGGGAATGGAGGCTCCGGGACAGGCTGGAACTCAAGACCGTGTGGTGTCTGTGGCAGTCCTCCTCCAGAGAGGGCAACCCTTTGGAGGGGGGGCGCTGTAATGAGAGGCCCACAGCAGCGCCTCCGGCCCGCTCCCTCCCTCCCACGACCACAGCGCCCACTGAGGGGGCAGCGACTGAGTGGATGCCTGCGCCACGCGCTGTGCTACAGGCTTTATGAGTTCGACTCCTGGGTGTCACGCATACGGAGCTCAGCCCCAGGCTGGTCTCAAATCCAAAAGAGCACATTGAGACAGGCAAACAAATAAACCAAGAGAAAATGTATTCCTCTGTAGCACCTCTCACAGGATAATGAAGGGGACTGAGCTCATAATCCCTGGCCACATTTCTATCTCCTTTTCACCCCAAATACCTTGCACTTCATCCTTTTAGAGCCTCTCCTTGGCCCAAATCCACAAGAAACTCCCCACCCACCCCCAGCCCCTGTCTGTACGGCCCCTCTCCTCGGTGTCTGTTCTTGGGTAAGTAGAAGGCCCGCACCCCTGTCAACAACCACCTCCCTACTCTTCCAGCCCCTCGGTCCGGCCCTTCTGTGTCCATGCTCAGACCTGGAGAGACAGACTCCCCAAAGCCAGCAGTTCAAGATTCCCTTTGGTAGTTTGAGAGAAAAGTCTTGAGACACCACACTAAAAAACTGTATCCAGTCACACACATTATTTAACTGTCATAATAACCCTATGAAGACAGGTAATATTATCACCCCCACTTTATAGACATAAAATCTACAGTTAGGTGAGATTATGTAATTTGCCCAAGGCCACCAATACGCAGTGGAGCCAGGATTAAATTCCAGGTCCAAACCCTCAGCATCTCAGCTCTTTATCAAGCACTACACACACACACACACACACACACACACACACACACACACACACACA